TAAATGACAAAAATTTGTGTGGCCGTTGAATAATAAACAATTTATTTCAGAAGCCAATGTGGATAACTCCACTTTTTGAATTTTTTAAAATTTTAGTGCCAAAGTTCTTGATTGGTGCTCATATTTTTACATTTAAAATAAATTTCTTTAATAATTAGGCTTAAAACCATTAAATGACAAATATTTGTATGGTTGTTGAATAATAAATAATTTATTTCAGAAGCCAATGTGATTAAATCTGTATTCTAAAGTAAGTCGTTGTAATAATGTAATTCAAATGCTTATAAGAATTTAGCAAAGAAATTTTTTAATGTAACGGTATGAAAAATAATATTTATACTTGACCGATTTGGCAAATGTGCTGGATTTCTAATTAGGTTAGACAACTTAGATTATTTTTTATGTATTTTATACTCATACCGGACAGAAATTACTTTTATGTGATCGTAGTTAGTTTATTTCTGACAAAACTTCATTTTAGCGAGTTTCGGTTGAGTTTTAATTTAAACTAAACTGAACTAGTTTTAGATGATTTAGGTGTAGATGAATCTCAACTAAACTAAACTAGTTTTGGAACGTTTAGGTATAGATGAATTTAAATTATACTAAACTAAAGATCATTGAAATGAAATTTGAAATGAATTTCACGTTCAATATCAATTCTACTGTGCTCTACTTAAGTGTCGCCACGAAGTTTCAAGACTTTCCTTGAACTTTACAAAAAATTATTTTACACAGAAATTGAACTATATTTAAGTACACATAACTTTCATAAGCTACAGTTTCTTTACCTACATTTTTTCGGAAACACGAACGTTATCTTAAATTATTGCAATCTTTTAATATTTTTCATTAGACTAAATCTAACAACTGTACATATGTTACATAAGCTAACATAAGTAATATAAAAGGTTCTGTTAACTTTTCATGTTATTTCTGTTATTTTTCTAACAGATATATAATTGTAAATAAATTTGTCATAATTTATTCTAAAAAATATTTAAAAGCTGCTAATTTTATTTTACAAAAAGAAACAAAATGTAACATTCTAACTCGAAGATTTTGGCAGATTTGTTAGGTTAGGTTAGGTTAGAACCTGTACCTTCCGAACGGGTGAATTCCCCAAGCTAAGATATTATATTTCGAGTCCTTTCACACCCCTCATAACATTTACCAAGTTTTATCTAGATTAGCCACTGAGGTCATTCGGAACAATATCAATGTTCATTCGAAATCATAATTTTACTCTAAAAACGCCAGTTGATATAAGCTCTCTAATTATCGTACCATAAGCAAGCACGTACCCTAGTGTGCGAAAAAGCAATTAGAAAAACCGAAAACTTCGCGTGTCAATTCAACGGCAATAGTGGGTGAGAGACTCGAGAAAAGAATAAAAATTTCTACGGACTGCTCACGATTAGGAAGTATTCAGGGAGCGTTGATGTGCATACCTGTGCCGTAACAACAAGAGCATAGTTCGAACGGTTCAATGGGCGTGCTTGTACAGAAGCGAACAGCCTATAGAAGGGAATAACAATAGGTGCTCGCGATACGGTGCAATTTTACGAAGAGTAAGGTCGGCCTGCTTCTCATCCCTCATCCTAGCTCATGATTTAGGGTATGTTTACCTGCAGTTAAGTACCTTGACGTGTCCACGGCGGGCTAGGACAGGGCCAATTTGGCAGAAATAAGGGAAACGCCGTAGGAAGGCTACTTCAAACGTATAGAATCCTAACAGTTTCTGTAAACACGCACGCTCATCCCCCTTTTCGCCCTGCTGGCACGTAATATGCTCGACATTCACGGTGAAACCGTGTTTTTCCTCAATAGTGAGGTTATCCTGACTTTCCAATCCACGCCGCCCCGTGTTTGTTGCACGTGTTTGTCGTGGACATTCGGATTACATGGTCACAGGGGCGCAATCTTTCTTCGATACTGCTAATGATAAATAAAGAGACGCGTTATTCGGCGATGAGAAGATGAGTATTGTTGAACTGTTTCTAATTTCTTCGTGAATTAGTTTAGTGTAATTTATAGCAATTTGTAAAATTATTGATATTCATTTGAAAAATTGGATGGGAACCACGTTGCTGTATTTACTTGGTTATTCAGCCGATTGCAGAAAATAAGTGTAACGATAGGTAAGGAAGAAATACTCTATTATCAATTTACCGATGCCTGGAGTATTAATTATTTTTATCTATTAAATATAGCGTATTTTAGTTACTTTTCAGCTTTTCTCTAAGTATTATTATTTTTCGTGTCCTGCAATGTTGTGATATAATTTTTTTTACATCTGACATGAAAGATATTAAACAATTTTTATGTTATTACGTTACTAAAATTTGGAGGTTCACTTTGCACTAATTGCATATTGATGATAAATAAAAATGTTTTTTAATATTACTGTAAGTACGTAATAGTTTTTTTAATCGTTAAGGTTTAACCTATTTCAAAAACTAATTTCATTTAAAACTTAAGTTATATTAGCATAACTTGTAAAATTATGTTAGTAAAACAAAAATAAAATTTCTATGAAGAGAAAGCGGTAGTGGATTGTAAACGGTGGTGATTAAATAGATAATTTAAAATTACTTGGTAGTAAAATAAATATTTGATTTATCAGTAAAATACTTATTATTATGTATTATATTTAAATATTATATGTACATATAAGTCAACAGTACTTTCCTCAGTTTATACATTTCTTTTGTAACGACGTATATCTACACAGTAAGGAATTAATTTATAGTTCTTAATTTTTTCATAAGCTAACATAACGATCTTTAAAATAAGAATAGAATACGTTTTCCAAGATATTTTCATAAGACTAAATTTCGATTCCCAATTGCTCTTTTAAATTTAAATCAAGATATTACAAATAAATGTGTAAGATTTAAAAAAAAAGAAAAAAGGTAAAGTTAAAAATGTACACACATTATTGACAACTTTCATAAAACAAAATGTACACCAATTAGTTAGTTGGTTTATGATTGACATCCCTCGTTAACGAACTGAGTTAATTACTAAAATGAAACTTAACAGTAAATCAGTTAAGTTGAAAGTAACAATTAATTTACAAATTAAATAAATAAAATAAGTATATTACATATCTTATTATAAAAGATAGCCTATAAGATAATTACGTACAATACTTCTAAAATTATTGTATTTAGTTACTAACACATGATATTACCAGTTATATATGATTAGGTACTTAAATCATTAATTGACCAATGAATTTCTCTAAAAGAAATATAACTGTTTCTAAGGAACACTAAATACTGATTGTTAATACAAAAATAAAACTTAATTTCTTGTTCGACAATGTACAAGTAATAACAATATATTACTAAATAAAAAAAAAAGCTCATATTTTGATTTCTTTATTTTTTTGTGTACGAGGATCCGACTGTGAGGAATTTCACAAAAGAAGCATCATGAAAATCTACGATTATAAAATAATAAAATTCTCAAGTATTTAATTTGCAAAAGAATCTATATTTACATGTTAATTTTTAAATCAAACAGAACTCCTTTTACCAGGAAACTAAGAAGTTATTACAACGCGATCTACTTCAACTGGACGGACATCTTGTTAATCTGCAACAAAAAAAGACCTCGCGTTTGCTTCGATTTTTAAATAAAAACTTATTTCAGCTAGTGTCAGTCAAATAATAATCTTAAATCGAACAATGTACATGTTACAACATCATTATACAATAATATAATCAACGTGTCATTTTTGTTTATCTCGAGAATCTTCAGAGAAGAAGCATTCGAAGGAATTATTTTATGCACACGTACACGCACACGCACACGCGCCCACAAAATAAATAAATATACATATACATATACTTACATATAAGAATCTTATAAACATACACGATATGATATAATTTATAACCGAACTATCGTTAAGTTGTATGCGAGGAGGAGTATGCCATTAAAATCGAACTCGTAAAACGTCAGTAGTATTAAGAAATAATTTCTTTTTCTACCTTTCAGCAACAATATTTTGTTAAGACTGGTTTATATTTTATTTTTACACATTAATCATCTCTCTTTCCAGTTGTACCATGTTTTACAGAATACCCTGTAAATGCGTATGTACATGTGTATATGTTTGACTGAACCAAGTGGATATGCCCGCACGCACGATTCTTTAGATACACAAGAATGTGAACGAATTATGGGAAACAGTATTCAGGTAATTTATAATTTATACGAAAAAGCATGATAACACATATGTATATGTTTACTGTGAATAGAGTACACTTGTCTGAAATTCAAGTATTTGTAAGTTGTATCGATCCAACATAGGGAAACAATATCCCTGCCTTATGGTGAGGAAGCAACGCAATAAATGCTTGCTTGTAATGAATACTCATATTTCTGATACTGTATCGTTGCATACTATCAAAAGTCTGCAATCGAATTTACTAAAAATTAACATGATTAGAAATAACATTAAGTTAATCATTATAACATCTAAAAATATATTTAAAATAATTGATAAATACTACTCCTTTCTTTTTTTGCTGGAATCGAAAATATATTCCATATAAGTATACGTAAGATAATACTTCTTACAACATTCACTCATAGCACAAATAGAATGAGATAAAATTTCGACTTCACGTTTAATATTAATGCTCTTCATTAAAAAGAAAAAAAAAACATTCAACTTATAACAAAAAAAAAAAGGTAATGAAAACAATTTAACATTTCGAAAATCGCAGAATATCGGAAAGCGACATGCAAATACCGTTCCGTCCTCCAGCTCGAAAGGTCGTATCAACTTACAACAATATTCCCCATAAGCGCTATCATACTCAATAAAAAACAATATCCGATACGGTGTAATCAAAAGTATGGGCACTAATTTTGTTTTCCGGAAGTCATAAGCATACGATCGATACAACGACCCCGATTCAAAGGTATGAATAAATAGAAATAAAATTTTACTATCTACACTTTACATCCGACACCTTGCTCTACCTAATTTCCATTAGTTCGGTTCGACCAATGTTACAACGATTGCCCTGTTTACACTTGTCAATGCAGTTTAAAAAAAAGGAAAGAAACACGACTAAGGCAATGAGCCAATACAGCTTTTTCACAACACGTGAAGTACACACGTATTACACCAATATAATTACACCACCTACATATCCAAAACGGTGGTTATTTAATTTTGGGCAAGTTTTGCAAAATCGATTTCAGCGTAACTGAAGCCTTCTTGAGACGCAGGCGAAACGGGTGCCGTATTACCGACCTCGGGAAGATCAAGACTAGCGTAATGCAAAATTTCCGCACCAGTTTGCACTTTATCAGAATTCTCTTTTTCTAATGGGCTAGGCGTGGCTGTAGGTGAAGACGTTGGCGTTTCATCTGATAATTTGGGAGACGATGATTGGTTTTCAATAGTTGGCTTAAAACCGGATAGAGTAGGACTGGTGTTCGGAGACGCAGTGATCAACCGTGGCTTCGTTACATTTAAATCAGCTAACTTTTTCGTTATAGTATTTAATATGTTGTTATCTTGGGAGGTCAAAGTGTTGATCGATATCACTCTATTAACTTGATTTTCCTTCCCTGTAGGACTAGACGGTCTATCCTTCATTACTTTCGGCAAAGTATTATTTGATTCCGTTACGGAAACGGAATTGATCGTGCTGATTCCAGTACTCACAGGTTCCATAATTGTATGATCGTTACTATTACTTTTGGAAATTACACTCAACTCTGAAGATTTATCAGAATTCTTTTCATGAGTGAACGATTTCTCAGGTGACTGAGGACTGTTCAAGGAAAAAGGGAAAATAGTCGCAGAGGAACCTGTCGGAGTTGCTCGCGGAGGTGACGCTGGCGTACTCGCTAAACTTTCCGACTCTGGGCTTCCATTCAAGGGTAAAAAACTAGGCGTTTTTATAGGTTTATTTCCCGCTTGGATTGCGATCGGCTGTGATCGCAACTTCTCCTTGCGACTACCGGTTCGTGCTGCTGCTGTTTTACGATTGTTTCGATTGCTCATGTTCATATTTATATAGTCTTGTTCTAAGCTTGTTCTTGATTTGAAAGTCATATCAACATAGTCCGAAGGTGGTCGCCGTGGAAGATCGACTGGTGCTGTTCTTGTGACCCCTGAAACATAAATAATTTTTAAATATTAATATAGCAATTTAATATCAAGCTAAATATTTAATATGATATATAATTTTCTCAAAGCATTGCGTATTATTCAATAAGTTTGTCATGTATAAATGATTCAAGCAGTTTTAGTTATAAATTAAATAAATTGTAAAAAATTAAAGAATTCGTTAACAAAGTTGGTAAGTATATAGTTTAATTTTACAATTTTTTAATTTAATTCCAACAACAAAATAAATATCAAACATACAGTGGTGTATATTTTACATTTATTGAATGAGCTTTTTACCTGGTGGTCCGTTCGATTGCACGCATTCTTCTTGCATAGGAGATGAAATTTGTTTAGGACTTGTACCGGAACGTGACCAATCCCCCAAAACACCATCCATTCTCATGTATGATCCTTCTGCTTCTTCCACGGGCTTCAAAGTAGTAATTACAGGTTTATGTGTGGAAGCAGAGGACGATACATGAATGTGACTATGATTTTGATTGGCAGTGATTGTATTGTTATTGTTATTACGATTGATCTGAAAAAATTTTAATAGCAATTGAAGAACCAGGAGTTAATATGAAAGTGATAATATTAAAAATTATTCGAAAAAAGGTGTTAGTTATACAACAAAACCAACTTACACGAATTTCAGAAATAATTTCATATCAATGCATGCAATATAATTCAAATCCAGAAATACCTTATTTATGCGGCTCATATCGACGTACGGAGCAGTGGTCGACGAGGCTAGTTGTCCAGGAGACATATCAACGTAGGAACTAGTGTCGGTGGCAGTAGAGTATGAATGTGACTGAGATTGCGACTGCGAATAAGATGAAGGCGGTGAATTAAAAGTTGTAGAAATACTGGGTTTCGTGAAATCCAATTCCATTAAATCTTCCATGCGCTCAGATGTCACAGAACAACCGGAATTGTGTCCCCAGGAACTTGATAATAACGGTGCTGAGTTCGACTTATTAGAAGTCGTACTCTCACAACCAACAGGTAACGGTGCAGTGACTACATTCGCTAACCTCTCAATCACAGGTCTCTTAGATCTACTACCTACAGAGAAAGCTCGAACTCTGCTAGCTTCTTGCTGAGTAATATCCAATCTATCAAAAATAAACCAAGCAAATATGATTATTCCATACATTTCGCTTTCGCTCATATATAATTCTCTTATAATGACCAATGTAATAACTTGACATTATGAATTATTCCAAATTTCCATACCTATTCTTACGATGCCTGTTAACGGGTTCTGGTCGAGAGCCAATAGAATAAGCTCTTGCTGGTCTAGCTTGCAAATCCTCTCCTGGTGGCAAGAAACTTGTTACTTTATCTAAATGATACTCAGAGAACCGCAAATCTGTACTAGGTGTACCGGAAGTAACGGAACAACTACTGCCACCATGCGACAGATCATCGGGAAAATGGCCATTATGATTATGTGAAGGATCCATGTCAACGTATCCATTGTTTCCAACGGGTGCCATAGGTACGTAACCCTCCGGTAATGTGCTCGACTCCGACTCCTCAATGAGGGATGACGCCCTCGAATGCGAGTGTCCTGTTCCTAAACTCATTGGCATATAGGCTGTACTGCGGCCAGGACTCGATCCACAAGGGCTGGACATTTCTATATAGGAACTTTGCTGCAAACAGTAAATTGAACGCATTATTATTTCGTTGCAAGCTATCTTCATAAGATGTTGCAATACATTTCACAATGATGATGCAATGTAAACTTGAATGTTTAAACACTTTATCATCTATTTACCTAGTGATACAATTTTATGTTAGTAAATAAGACAAAAAGTTCGTATGAGATTGCATAATATTTAGCTAAAAATTCTCAATGCCCACTGCTACTTTGTTCACTGTTTAGTAGATACCTGCTTTTGTGTAGGATAGCCTTACATTCCCTAAAAGGTATCATATACTTTGTAATAATGTTTAAATTCTGACAAACTATAAGTTGTCAAACTATTGTTGTCATTCCTAAATATACTGCAATTCCATAGAATGTGTAACCGCACTGATAAGACTGGTAAGGCAGCAATAACCTTAGCTTCATCTGCACTTATACAACATACTTTTTGGTTCTTTGAAAAAGTTAGTCCTTATTAAAAAAGGAATGTTATTTATAGCCATAAAATGTTCAAGAAAAGTGTACAAGCCAAAACTATGCCAAGAATAACCAAAAATACAAATTAAAATATTAAGAATAGTTAACTATCACTTAATACTGCATATATGTGCATTGTTACAATTGTACATAATAACAGTTGCAAACAAAAAAGAAAAGAAATTAATATTGATATGACAAATAAATACACAATATATTATAATTATTCTGGTTTGTCTTTTTAGAATGTATTAAACCTAATGACGACCCACCTGGGAAGGAGAATGCGATTTGAAATTTGGCGAATATTTGTGATGCAAATGCGACGTGGACCAAAGAGCATAATCGTCGCCATTCTCCTCCAAAATAACAGGCTCGTCTGGCGTCAAAGAATGTCCGTATCTCGATACAGTACCCTCTTCCAATATATTTTCGCCACCATCATCCATCGAGAGGGACGATCCCGCTGAATCCGTAGAACATGCACCGGATGCAGGACTGATAGGTATCGATGTAATTGGTGGAGAATAGGAAAGGCCGCCTCTCACGTACATAGAGTGCGGTCTCAGCACGTGAGACCCAAAATGTGGATTCCTGGGATGGCTTAATATCGACGTAGGATGACTTTCGCTGGTGGTGCGAGCCCTAGACGGCAAACTGTCGCATCTGTCACGTCCTTTTGTACCTAGAAACATGTTAGTTAGACACGTTGTTATAAATCATTCACCAAACAAAATTTGAAAAGCATCCATCTTCCCAGCATAGCAGCGGTTAGTTCATTTGCATATTCAAATGATTCCATAGATCTGTATAATATTTACGCATATTCATGTATACAGTTTGTTATTTATTTAAACATATATTTTAGGTCAAGCAATGGGCAGTGATCAAAGAAATGTTTCCAAATGGCGGGAATACTCAGACGGAATATATATATATATATATGTATGTGTATATATAAAATATATATATATATTGACACACAGGATGTTTTGCAAAAATAATCGCATACAGAGGTTGATTGGTAGGAGGTGGAAACTAGGAAAACGTAACGTTATTAGAACTGAATGCTGTAGGAACATATTCCATCGATTGTTTTAGCACGACGAAAAGAACAAAAAGAAAGAAAAAAAAAAGAGGGGAAGCGTTACTTCATTACCGAAGTATCGTGCAACTGATCGCATGCGAGTAAAAGCTTGCATATCCACGACGACCACGCGATAATTTCGCGAACAGACCGTAAATTATATGTATATATATATTGTCTATATATATGACGCAGTAGCAAGTAGTTTTGATCACGAGCATATTTATTTACGGAATCGAATTCCCATAGAAAGGAATGAAATAGAGAGAAAGAAAGAGAGAGGAGGGGTAACAGAAAAAACAGGAAACAGCGAGGCAGAGACACTGAAAGAGAAACAAAGAATATCTCTTGCTGACTTATCGTATGACGAAACAAAAATACATACAGCGTAAAACTGATCTTTTAGATGATTGCATTTGATTGATAATAACGGCAGCTAAGGGCAGCGACAGGGTTCTCTGATGGGATATTGTCGCGGTTGTGGTTGTAGTGGTCACGGTAGCGGTCGTAGTGATGGTAATAGTGGTGGTGGTTGATGTAGTTGTAGTTGTTGTTGTAACATGAATGGATTGGGAATTATTGACGGAATGGGGATGACTCGCTACCGAATGACGACGTCTAGTGGTAGTGGCACAGTTGGTATTAGTCGAGGCAATCCCAGCAGTCCCAGCCCCGGTACCAGCAACAGCTGCAAACCACACAGCTCTCACTGTCGCACAACTACTTTTCTTTTTTCCACACACATTTTACAAAAATTTAATCGACGTGTTGTTGATAATAATCGAGATTCAATCAAAAAACTCTTACCGGAGGAAGTAATTATTTATGGATAAAAGAGTATTGTAAACGCAAGAGAATATTTACCTATCGAATGAGCGTATCACCGATCACTTTTCAGAAATTGAATAAATCTCTGTCTTAAAGTATGCAATACACATTTGTTTCTGTTCTACTCGGCCTCGTTAATATGTATGTCCATCAACGTCATGTGAACAGTGTTGAAACATATTGTGCAATAGTAGGAACTCGCATACGAGTACGATAATGAATAAAGCCTTGTACGTTTTGTCGCAAAATTTTCTGATTAGTAAGTTATCGTGAATCTTATATAATTACTTGTCTATTTCATAAAAATCTTAATTCAAATAAATATACTGGGCGACACGACGAAACACAAATTACGTAAATTATTAGATCAAAATAACTCTTTTTTACCGCGTTCTACCAATCTTCTCTCCAAATACTTTCGTGTAAGAAATTATGAGAATTGATGAAATAAATTATTCTTCCTTCTCTTTAATTTCTTTTAAATAAGCACGATTTTTGTTTTTATAAGTTCGTTTAAACTAAACATATTTGAATAAACTGTATATAGCACGAATTATTTAATAAGAAATTTGATTGTCTCCGATTACAATCGCAATTATAACCCTCTGATGCCCACATCTCACAAGAAAAAGAAGCATACAACTACAATGACAGAAAACAGACCCGTAACTGTATTGCAAGAAGAGGTACTCTGAGTCTGATTAAACTGCTCCTGTTCTTGAACTGGATCCACCTGCTCCTCGTGCGTCCTGTGTTCCTCTGTAATACCCGCAACCCATTTGTGTTATTCTAAAGCTGAGTTTTCAATTGTACATTTCGTGATTCAGCCAATATTTCGAGGCATATAAATGTAGTGCAGTTATGGTCTGGTGTAAAGAAGAAACCAATGTCTTGGATAACTTACACATGGACTCAAAAGGAATTTGTAGGATGATTTTGTACAAAGGAGTTTCTGCGCAAAACGTTTAGTGTTTCAGAAAAAACAAAACATTCAAATATCATAAACACATGATCAACGTATTTACAGAACTGAAAATGTATTTTTGCAGTCAGTACTCATAGAAAAAAACCATAACTGATATCATGTCAAAGTATATAAATAGAAATATTATTTCTTAAAAGTTAGAACTTACCCAATGGTGAACTATGGAACTTTTGTCCAGTGTGACAGTGTTGTAGGGCAAAATTTGGCTTGCTAGCCTCAGTGGCAGAAGAACTACGTATTCTTGTACGTGGTCCCACATCATCTTTGCTACTGTTAGAATTGCTCATAGCATTCATAATAGCAGCATGCATATTGTATGCTATATTGTTGTCTTCAGCTTCCATCCACAATTCACCACCACCAGTTACTGCAGAACGACCTACTTCCATATAGAAGATACGCTCCATATACCCACATCGTCTGATGCAAATTAGCTATGAAACAAAAGTTTCCTGTTAATTATGCTTCCTGAATAGAATAAAGATTTATTTTCATAAATCCATCAAAATGAAACTGTCATCTATTAATTTAGTAAGCTTACAGGAAATTCTATAGAATCTGAGTTATCCTTGACTCCAATTTTCACTAGGCTTAATGTTCGATCAGTTAAGCAAAGCCTATAAGGACCATGAATATTCTTTCGTTCTCCTAGTCCTTTCTTCTGCATTGTGACTTGCCATACATGTTCTGAAATAAAATATTATGTTTATACCTTATTACAATTAATATGTAATATAGTATTGCAAAAATGGAATTATATTTAATTTTATTATGAATACATTATCACATATCAATATTACAATTACTTAAAACAAATATGCTAAAAACATTCATTGATCTTTATAAATCATTACAATATTGCAGAATATAATATAAATAAAATTTCAAAAAATGATTAGAAAGCATAAATATTAAGTTTATACGTAATAAAAATTTAAATATATGTATATACACATAGTGTTAAAATTGTACTATAGTTGTTTATGAAATATTATGGTATGTGCCTATAAATATATGAAGTAAAACTATTCTTTTCCTTTATGCAATTTAAAATACTAATTTTTGCTTCCAATTGTATGAAAAATAACAAAGAACTATAATAGGTAATTAGAAAAATTATTGAAAAACATCAAAAATGAGTATTCAAAAGAGACAGTAAAATATTCGAAAAAAGTTTTTCAACTTGTTCAAAGCAAACATATTTCTTATTTTGATCTTCGGACTCTTTATTCTTTGTCGTGAAATTATATACAATGACGCATTTAAAACCAAGTAAACAACTGGCCTGAAAGTCCAAAACATCGCAGTTTAATGGCACGGATGAGTGTCCGTTTAAAACTCTCGAAAGTTTTTTCATGCGTGAAACGCGTTTCGTCTCCAATATGCGGCCTAATTCTAATTCAAACCGTAATAGCGCATTACCAAATATAGGCCGAGGTTGCTCTCCATCGGCTACATCTCCACTCTGAAGTAAAAGCATCGCTTTCAGCCATTCATCCAGCTCTTTTTCATTCTCCAGAATCAAGCAGAAGCATTCGTCTTTTGTGTACAATGCGATAACGTGTTTGTGTTTGGTGTCCACGCGTTTATTGATATTGAAGCAGCTGTCCAACAAGATGCTACGCTTCGGAGGCTGCCTGTTCTCATACTTCTTTTTACTATCATAATATTCGAGACAGGCAGGATATCCTGCTGATTCGCCACGCAACACGAAGTATTTTTTCTTCTGAGTCTTCAGCTTCTTCACATGTCCAGAAAGAACAACGGGACCCCCTGAAGAGGAGATTAAACTCCTGCTCGAAGACATCGTCGTAGTGACGATTGGAAAGGCCGTTGTCGCGAAGAATCTTGCGGCTCCTCTAATAACACGTTATTTTCTACCATTTAAATGGTAGAAAAACAGTTACGGATAATTAATTTGTAACGCACATTTTGTACCCAAACACATTATTCTAATAGTTGATCATAATAGGAATACGTGTTCCCACCCACGTTGTCGAAGCAGAGTAGTTCGGTATGAGGAACACACAGTTCTATTAAAAACGACTTTTTATTAAAGGAACACGGCACCGATACTCGAATTAATACAATAGTACATCATCACTTTCACATATATAACGGAAATTCGAGAAACGTATTTGAAATGTCGCACAATCCTATTGTTGTTTTTTCACGCAACGTGTCTACCGTCCTGCTTTTATCGTGGAAAGGTTGTCGTCGATATCATTGTACTCGAGGCATGCTAACGGTGGACGCACGTGTCGGGGGTAAATAAGCAATAACACGCCACCATAGTGCATGTGCACTGAATGTGTACTAAGGGCGTCGCATAAATCGGTCTTTCCCAATGCAGTGCAGACAAAGGTGTATTATCGACTAACCACGTTTTCCGAGGTTAGGGAATTAGAAAACGGTTAATCTTCCGACGAGAACCGAAAATCCCTTCGTGCCGGTTTCTTAGAAAACACAGAGGTCGTGCACCTGCTCAGTTTTCTGCGATAATGATTCTTGATGAATCTCGCTTCCACCTGTCACGCAGTTTTGTCTAATTTCACCCGTCACGATTCGTGGCTCTCGTGTGGTGTCTTAGAACAGAGAATTGCATACAGTCTGAGGACAAGAGTATTCGCCACCATTTACGTATTTCACATTTGTAAATTGTCTTTACCGAGGAACTGTTCAAATGCTTCGAGTGTTGTTTTTTTCGGGCAAAAAAGTTCTTGCATCTGTTTATCGCGTCGAATAACACAATTTACTGCGTGATCCACAATGGTTGGCCCGTATACACACAAGAAGCATGTAAAGAAATGCTTGTATACACAATGATACACAGAACTCTTTCAGACACACGCGGGTGTGTTCACGTGTACACGATACAGCAGAGGCGTACGCGCGCGCGCTCGTGGCTTTGTCGTTTGCGAGTACGTTTAGAGGAAATACGTAGAGAGGTAGAGAAAAAGAGAGAGGGACATGCGATGCACACGCAGGTGGGTGGTTGAACCCCTCTTATCGCTGGTAAACGCGGTATAAAGGCGGCTTGCTTCGGGTAAATAGGCTATTGTCAAGGGCAAGACAATTTTTTCATGCGCAATAGTAGGCAGATCAAAACACGGCAGCATTCCAGGTCGATGCGAGAACACACTCCTCTTCCCACACCCCTTATATATCGAGCACTTTGCGGAAACACACGAATAGAGTTCACGAGGCAGTTAACATCACTGTAGCAATGACCACAACACGTCCTGAACGCGTACTCTCTGTCGGGCGCAAGCGAAATCTGTTCACGACAATCACATCTGCTTGAGGTGAAAAATTTGGGTCTCCTTTCGTACCCACCATCCCCCTCTTCCCCCTTCCGCCTGCGAGCGAGCGACAAATACCGCGTCACTTGTGATCACGAACGTGTGCTTTAACAGTTTTTCTTAATAACCAAGCTAAAGATCACTTGATTCCGTGGTTCCTCCCGTACACGTCGATGTTTACGAACGATACGCACATATCTTGAACTTTTTTCCGTCGCACGCCTAGACAGCTAAATAGGCGCTCATGTCCATCTTGTAAAGGTCATGTGTATGGTAAGCTCCGCAGTTGTAAACAAGATGTACGCAGGCGCTAACCGCTCGAATGGCGGCGACGGCGGCGACTCGATACGCGATACGCCACGACCGTAAATACACATACGTACGTACGTATTTACGTACACATGCGGCTGTCTCTTTTACAGTGGCGTAACTATCGTCTCGACTAAACACCGCAATGCGGTGGACCCTTCCGGGGATCGTTTAAGTTGCGCTATATCCTTTTGAGAAACGTAAGTTGTCGATAATTCAAGTTTTCTGCAGCTGTATCGATAATAAATATTAATCTATAATAATCGTCCGTGATAATTGTGAATTCAAATGTTGTTTTTTGTTTATAGATGTAAGAAATTTAATATATCCCCAGTGACAGTATTTCTATATGTACATAGGGCGGTCATACAATTCCGGCCATTATAATTTTTGTTACGCCATTGCTTCCTTTAATGTCTCACACTGATATAGAACGTCATAATATAAAGACGTGTGCTTGCACGAATATGTATGCGTGCTTTCAAGTCAAGGTGGACAACTATGGATACACGCATTTCGTTCACGTCGATCTGGGTATTGGATCCTCATCGGCAGGGTCATTTGTAAACACATACGTAAGTACAACATAAATAAATTCCTCTGTACTAATCGGCCATACTAATCGTTTTTAGCACAATGTTGAAGAAGAGAATATAGTTTCTTATAAAGAATGAACCATTATGTTGCACAACTTGAAAAAGTAAACATAGGCACAGTTGAATTTGTATAAAAATTAAAGGGCAAGGAGAAATGTTATTATTTGTGTAACTCCTTGTTATAATATGCAGTTTAACAATTAATGAAGTATATATTTCACAAAGTTCCTGAAGTATTAGATATTCATACACCAGGTCCAGAGTTCGTATTCGCTTAAGTCTTAAATTTTTTGTTCGTGTGGTTCATATCGAGTGTTTGGTGATTCGGGAATTACTTAAGGCATTAACCTTATGATTATAGCCACCGTAGTCAATGTCTCAACACAGAAAAATGTTAGTAAACAAAATGTAGATGATCAAATGCAATAATCATATTTATAAAACGTATATATTTATTTATTTGTATACTACAAAAAAACCTTTCAATCACTGCAATACAATATGTATATTTAATTACATTATGTGAATATATGTATATGTGAATATATTTTTTAAAAATATGTAGCTGATAAGTGTAATATGAATTTTTAACCTAATTTCATAAAAATTTGTTGAATGTTTAGTGTAACTTGTTAATACTGATATTATTGTACATTAATATGAATGTAAGAAATGTTTAACTTGTATTTTACAAAAGAAAAAGCTTTGTTTCTCATTATAATACTGTTTAAATCTGTATATTAATAGTTTGTGAAAATATATCAGATCTATTATATAAAAGATAATCTAATAAATATTTACATATTTTTTTTATGTATTTAAACAATTTTTGTTTATACTATATAACATACACAGTCTTCATCAATAATTTGCTATGATATTGAGTCAGTGATAGATAAAAATAGCTTACAAGTATTGGGTGCGTGCAGAAGTTTTGATGGATTCTCAATAGATGGCGAAATCGATATAATTTCATGAAAACAATAGGCAATCTGTTACAATATTTTATTTCTTTGGTAACATAGCACAGTCAATTGTTATTTGGAATAAATACTGACTAACTTGTATGAATTGTTTTGCTTTAAATTGAAAATGGACACTGATAGATATCATTTGCATGTCATAATGATGGATGAGATTCATAGAGAAACAAACATTACCAATCCGTGAAAAACATTTATGACGTGTTTCGAGAGGCTGCTACGTCGATCCCAACATGTGAAACATGGTTTGCTAAATTTAAACGTAATGATTTTGACCTTAATGATAAGCCCCGTTTTGGACGGCCTTTTGTCATTGATGATGATATTGTTCACAATTTTATGAAGGTAAATTCACGAATTTTGACAGATGAAATTGCTGATAGGTTGAACGTCAATAGAGCGACTGCATTTTGGCATTCGAAGAAACTTAAACGCATCCCCCATACTCACCTAACATAGCTCCGTCAGATTTTCATTTATTCCGTGCATTAGAAAACAGTTAAATTAGTTCCAATTTTATGTTCCATTTAAAAATGTTCCAGTCTCTTGAAGCCTCCAAAAACCATATGTCATGTTTTTTTGAACAAAAATCAAGTATTTTTTATAATAAAAATCGAACGGCTGCGAAAATGATGAAAGAAGATTACCGAAAACAATGCAACTATATAATTAATGAAATCAATTATTTTGTATAAAATAACGCAACCTATTCATTTATAGCAAAATCCACCAAAACTTTTGCACACATCCAATAATATAACATATCAGTAAGTGATTGATGTGGTTCTAATTGTAAATGTTGCCCAACAAGAGAGGCAAGTATATGTGCATATTGACAAGGAGCAGAAACTTTTATAGTACTAGCCCAATTGTAGTACAATTGACTAATCTTGTACATTAATCATTGTATATGTTCAGCTTTCATATTTTTATTGTTATAAACAACAATATAGTGAGTTGGTGATACTGTACATTCACAAATGTTCTGTGGTACTAAGAAAAAATCATAAACAGCAGGTTTCGTTATATATGAATCTACAGTTGTTCCTGATTAAGGATTCTCTAGTTTTATAGACTTATTTCTTTAGACTACAGACTTACACATTTCACAAATAGCCATGTCTTAATACGTTTTTGAACTACTATTACAATTAATCTTGGTTAATAAGTCAGTTCCATATATTTAAATGTCCCTAATAATTGTTTTACTTTATATTTAGCAACAGTGTCAATTTGCACATCACCAACACCACCTCTGTATACAATGACGCGATCTGGTCAACATTTATTCTATTGTAATATAAAAGATTTATGTATAATGAATATAACAATAATATAAGATATTAATGTATATCACATATATTAAACAATACTTACTTTATAGTAAGCTTTTTTTACCTTGTAACCTCTTTACCTTTACCTCTTTATTGCAAAATATTTGTTCTTTCAGGAAACTGTATGTTGAATGTTGTTCTATAATGCTTGCATGTATTTTTCAATTCCATCATCCTTTAAGTGAATCACCTGTGGTTCTCCCCCCTACAGTCATACCTATAATTTTTGAAGCTTTTTTTAACATACCAATAAATTCTTGTATACATCTTGTATGTTTTTGACAAAAATCAGAGTAAATTCCAAATTTGGAGTAATAATGATAAATTAAGAACATAAATAGATTCATAACTTTTTCAATGAAACTCAAATAAATCAAACATCTATACAACATAATATCCAATTAAATTTCTATGTTAAATTAAATTATAAATATTGTTAACAATAATTAATAAACATTATGTAATAATAATACTGTGTTTTTTCCGTAACTACACTAGCAAAAAAAAAAATGAAGATCCATAACAGTTTAATATATAAAGCTATTTATAAAGGTGTTTTTCTTATTAAACATACGATTGTATTTATATTCAAAAGGTATTTTCCATTTTTATCATAATACATCCATTTATAATTAAATTAAATTACCAAATAAATGAAATGAATATGATAGGAAATTTTTGTATCATTCAAATATGCTACATATTAATGTTAAAAAATCGATACAATTATTACATAAATGCAAAAATAGGTTGGAAGTAAATAAAGCATGTGTATGAATTAATTTTGTTAGGGACATTTAGAGTTGGGATACGAACAGACGCTGAAGCGTGTAAATTAGTGGACCAGAAAATAACGTTTGAGCTCTCTAGATGCTTCCAGTTTACATACAAATTACAATTTAACATTACGCTAAGATCTTTATCTTATGTTACTGTTGCGCTGTTGCTTGAACGTAGTTTTAATCGCACATGAACGTGGCTTTAGGGCGGTTTGAATCTGGTGTCATGTGGCGCTCCGTAGTGTGAATATTAAGACACGCCAAATTCAAATTGTGCGATAGTGTAGACGAAGCGAAAAACAAATGATGAGAACCAATCTAATTCATCCTCAAAAAACGTCGTATGGAATCTTTGATTTGATTGGAGACTTTTGTAAAACAAAGGCATGTAAGACGAGATGAAACCAGCGACACCTGACGATTCATTCAATTTTCCGCGTCCAAAAGAGCTCAGATGTATTATCGCATAATAAAGTTATAGTTAAAACATTTCATTTATTCTTGTTCCAATCAAGTTATTTATTAGTTTATTAAAAGTTTCAACATTAGATTTTACCGTATTCATTAACTTTCCTAAACTATCGTGTTCCGAAGTGCTTTGGCGCTTCACGTGCGCAAATTCCATCAAATTCCCCAAGAACCCACGCAACATTACAATAGGTACGAGCTATATGTGAATATAAAAGAAAATTATGATTATGGTTACATTTAGTTCGCTATGAATATGGCTGAGTGCGTTAAACTAGGAAGTGTGAATTCACATGAAAATTGCAGAGTGTGAACCTTATGGTTGGTTCTTATGAGTCATAGAGCGTAGCGTCATACATACAGTATATATTTAGGCATATGTATATATTGTATAAGCAATGTTTTGTATTTCTTTTCGATGTATTTGCGGTCATTACAGTTCTTTTTGGTCATTACAGATCTTTTCAATCATTATAATTCAGACTTTTGTTTCCATTAAATAATATTTAATTTCAAGGTAAGCAGGATATTAATAGTATTTTTTAATGTTAATTTCTTTTTCTTTTAAATATGTCCTAACAATGTGTGCAAATAAATATATTTAAAAAATGATATTCAATGAAACCATCTCTGTAAATAAATATAGCAAATATGCGTATATATGTACGTAACGTAATACTTTTATTATACTAGATGATTGTTTTTTTAGATCCTAACAAAATTAATTCATACACATGCTTTATTTACTTCCAACCTATTTTTGCATTTATGTAATAATTGTATCGATTTTTTAACATTAATATGTAGCATATTTGAATGATACAAAAATTTCCTATCATATTCATTTCATTTATTTGGTAATTTAATTTCATTATAAATGTATGTATTATGATAAGAATGGAAAATACCTTTTGAATATAAATACAATCTTTAATAAGAAAAACACCTTTATAAATAGCTTTACATATTAAATTGTTGTTGGTCTTCATTTTTTTTTTTTGCTAGTGTAGTTATGGAAAAAATGCATTGTTATAACATAATGTTTATTAATTATTGTTAATAGTGTTTATAATTTATTTCAACATACAAATTTGTGTATTTGTGTATTTGAGTTTCATTTGAAAAGTTATGAATCTATTTATGTTTTTAATTTATCATTATCTTTCATATTTTAAATTTACGTAATATCTTTGTAGAAATTTGATACAAAATACAATTATCCCATAGTATATCTTAAAAAAATGGATCAGAATAAAGAAAAGCCAATTGGTAAAGGAAGAGGAACTTTCTTGTTAAAAATGTTACTAGAAAAAGAAAAAGAAAAAGAAAAAGAAAAATCTGGACATGAAACCATAGCACAATCTGTATCAGCTGTTGCTAGTAGTTCTAAAGACCAAACCCAAAAACATTCTGATCTCACATTTACAAGTGAAATACCAATAAGTTCTCCAATGGGACTAGGTAGAGGTAATTTATTAAATCTAATGAAAACAATGACACCTATAGAAATGTCAGATTCCAAGCCACTGGTATATCCTAAGCCAATGTCAGTAGTTGGTCAAGGTAGAGGATCTTTGCTTAGTAGACTTAAATCTGCTAGGTACGTATTCCATGCTATACATGTTTAATAATAATACATATCTTTAAAATATTCTTTTCCATAATGTAGAATTTAATTAACTTTATATATACATATTGAAACGATTAAAAAAAAATGTGATAAAGATTCTACTTTTACTGCAACAAAAGGAGTAAAATATT